GAGCATTCATGACGATACCATCACTGGGGCGATTCGTCAAGGAATGCCTCGCGAGATCTTGTAGGTGGTTGTGATGGCAGTATATGCTGCTGAGGTGCAATTCCCGTCCTATCAGTTGATTCGGTGTATTCGTGCGTCCGAAGGGCTTATGTCATTTCCTGAGCAGCCTTGCTCATGACGGGGTACATGGTCGGAACGGTCCAAAACACGCCACGTCCAATACCTGCTCTCAAGCCATTTTGATAGGTCGATTTGTAGCCACGGGCCAGAGAGAGGAGGATCTGTTTCCTCAGGTAGTGGGGCAAATGCGCTCAGACCAACACAGCATGAGGCGGACCAGTCTGGAGCCAATTTGGACTGGGAGGCGCCAATGGATATCGTTGGGAGCGGCTCTGTAACGTTCTAGAACTTGACATGCCAAGTGGAGCTTCGGACCGTGTCTGCTTCCAGGCCGTCGATGTGGGTAAGAAAGTCAACGTATGAAGCGGCGCATCGCCTTAGCCACAGGTCCGCTTGGCCTGTAACAACACATCACGACAAGGTTCCCTCCACTGTCCAGATTGTTCCCCGATCAGTCGCGCAGAATCAGTTCGACACACGTGCAACCACGCAGCGACAACGATGGAACTTGATGTTTAGCCAGTATTTACCATGCATCCATTTCAGAAGAATTCTTGCACTGGCCAGCCATGACTAAAACCACTTTATACGCCTCAAGACGGAACATCACTGATAAAGGTTCGCTACATAGTACCGTACATATTCACAATTTCCTCATGATTATACAGCACAAGCCTACGATCCGAGGAGCCTATTACCCGAGGAAGCAAACTTGAAGTACGTGGAAGACTCTTTGCCAAAGACCGAGTTTCGTGGCATTTGAACGCCTTTTTGGGTCGGTGGCGGGGGCTTAACGACCTGAGACAGAAGCACACGAACAGCAAAAGAATCTGAGACTTCCTGCTTCTGCCCCAAGCGAGAAGAGAAATCCGTCTGGTATGGGCCGTTCATGGTACGCTTCTGATCTGGCTCCTTTCACATACCTGAAGTCTGACTTCTTGCCAGCAAAAACAGGCAGAAGGGCAATTCCGGCGTTTCCGTTCAGCACGAGCCGATCACGCCTGGGGCCACATTCAGCTGGGTGACGCATGGCAGACTCATCACGGAACTCGTCAATGGTAGAATGGTGTGCTATTTCGCGGCGAAGGATGGTCGTGTGGTGGGTGTCTATCTTGGCGTTTGGAGTTGCCCACCTGTTTTCCAGTGGCCGCCAAATTGAATGTCTGCATGTGGTTACTTAGCTTACATCACAAAAAGAGTTCTTCGTTGTGTATCAGGCGGCCCGGAGCCGCATTGCAACATCCTCGGTATCTCGTATTTCATGTCAATGGCAGACGAAAAATGGCTGTGAATATGCTGAAGAATGTGCAAAAGTCCGTATAGCCTCTCTTGGGGCTTTATTAAAATACACTGATTCCTTTAAGGCGCACATTTCTTCATTGCATGTCGCCGTCTCCCTTCTAGGTCCCAGATTATCCGTGCTATAGTGACCTCAGCCCTCAGAGACTGATGATGATTGTGAGCAATCGTGAACTTTGACATCAAGGCTGAGCTACTTTGCGACGATTTGTTTGCTTCGTCCGCCCTGTACGAATTTTGACACCTGAAGCCTGGCTCGGACCTGGTTTGATTTCCAAGTCTCTGAGACTAATCATCTGGCTGGACAACAATGTTGTGTTGACAGGGTAAAACATGCTCTCTGGGCGAAACGGTGAAGGACGGCTTTCTATGGCATTGCTGTTCTCAAGTGCGTTCGCTTCTTCCAGCCTTAGTTGAGGTATAGTAGGTCCGGGAGACCTCCGTGGATATGTTGGTGACGTAGACTTCGAGAATACACTTGCGGGAGAAAGCAAAACGTTCGCATAGGCACAAGCATCGATAAGTGCTTGTTCGTCCTGCACTAGAAGGGGATCTGGCGGAGATGGTGTTGTCATTTTTCGAAGTTGCCAGATGAAGAAACCGAAGATTCTCTCGGCCTCAAGATACCGGAACTATTTATGTTCAAAATGCTGGCCACATCAGCCGTATTTGGCAGCAATTTCATCAGCTTTAACTCTTGAGGTAGATAAGCCCTCGTAGTAAGCCAATAGTAGGTCGACAGCCAGTTTTGGCGTCAGGTCACGAATGCTGTATATAACAGGATGGTCCATGAGTCCCTTTGCAGCCTTGCGTATACGTCGCACCAAGTCACGCACTGAACGTCACCATGGAGATCTGGGCGTTTGCCAATCTGTACACTACTCCCCCTACAGTCGGTACCGTTCAGTTGCCCTCAAGCACGGTGACTGAGATTCCTCAAATATGCACTTGTGCCATGGAAGGGGACGTGTCAACCTCGACTGCAACTCATACGACTGCAGGTCATACGACTGCAACTCATACAACTGCACTTCCCAACGGGGTGGAATCCTCCCATAGATTCTGGAACACTACTATCGACCACAATACATCGAGCATCAGCACCGCGATCAGTCTTGTTACAGCGACGTCTGGTGGTGATGTTCAACCGTCGTGGACCTACCATAGACCGACGGCGCACACGACCTCGGCGATCTCCGTTAGCGCAACCAGTTCACATGGCGCCGGCTGTGACCACCTTGCAGCCTGTTTCATCTTCTTCCTCGGTGTATACGTATGGGACCGGCTTTGTTAGACCCACTTGCTGCTTTCGAGCAACCACGATTACCAGAAACTCACGCAGGAGGGGGAAGTGATGGATGGTATGTAGGGTGGACGCGTTCTTTGGC